AGAAGACGTGGGAGGTGATCATCTCCCCTGCTTTTCAACCATACAGACCCGATGCTTGCTTGCTTGAGTAGTATCTGCTGGAAGGTTGTCTTCTTCGGCGGGCGGTAGACGGCGGCGGTTAACTGGCTTCAACACATTTCAGAATAGGCTGCCAAGGAGGGTGATGAATTGACTTACAACCAGTCTGTGGAATATCTGAAGCGTCTTCTGAAGAAATCGACGCTTGTCATGTTGCTAACTGAAGAAATCGACACTTGTCACGTTGCTAACTGAAGAAAATCGACACTTGTCATGTTGTTAACTGAAGAAATCGACACCCAGTGGTTCATGTCAAATTGAGCTCATGTTCCTCTACTTGGGGTTAACCCTAGCAGCTGTGAATTCACCTACTTGGTCTCTGCAGCTGTGATCACCTCCCCTGTTGGTGAAATAAATGGCCAGCTTGTGTTCTTCTCAGCAGAAGAATGCTAGCTGCTCATCCCAGCTGTGAACAAGGTCTGGTTTACCATCAGGCCTTGATGCAGTTGTTGAACCTGTGATGTTGTACAAAGTGAAATTTCTCTGTTGAAGTGTACATTCCTTCATAAAAAAAGGTGTTGTACATGATAGACATGCTATGTATATTACCATTGTGTGTAAAAAACCAAAAACGGGTTTGGGGGTTGTTTCTTCAAAATTTCCCTTGTTGTTGTTGTTGCTCGATCACCACAAAAAAACAGAGCTTAATTAGTTTTTACCCTGACGATGAAATATGAGTGGCAGTAGACGGGGCCTGACTGGCATCATCTCAGGAAATAATTGATAGTGGTATTGTGCACGGCTACGGAGTGCTTGCCTTGTTGCTGCATGGTTTCAGAGCGGCGACTGCTGCTGCGGGTGGCAATAAGTATTTTCAAATTCATAAATATTTTTCCAAAAAAATGAATATTTGTAAAATTCAAGACAATTTTCTAAAATAGAGAACATTTTTCATAATTCATGATTAATGGGCAACGGCCTACTAGCGCTGCTACCAGGCCGTCGCCCATTAAGCTAGTGACGCGCCAGCCCTAAAGGCACTAAATACGAGGCGCTTCTATTCCTCGCCTTCAGCGAGTTTTTTTTTTGTACTTTTGTTTATACTTTAAAATATTTTAAGCATACATATTACAAAAAATTCTACAAAAACAAATGGAAAATGTTGAATAACTAATTGAAAAATGGTGAACAACTATTTGAAAAATGTTGAACACATATTTGAAAAATGTTAATGACGCATTCGGAAAATGTTGAACAACTATTTGAAAATTGATGATCAAGCATTCAAACAAAAATGTAGAACAAGTGTTTTAAATATTAAAAAATGTTGAACGATTATTTAAGAAATGTTGAATGAGTATATGAAAAATGTTAAACAAGTATTAAAAAATGTTGAACAAGTATTTGAAAAATGTTGAACTAGTAAGTATTAAAAATGTTGAACGAGTATTTAAGAAATGTTGAATAAGTATTTGAAAAATGTTGAACAAGTAGTTGAAAAAAATGTTGATCATGTATATAAAAAGTGTGAAACAGGTATTCAAAAAATGTTGAACAAATATTTTAAAAATGTTGATCATGTATATAACAATGTAGAATGAGAAACAAAAATAAACAAAGATAAACCAAAAAAATGAAAACCAAAGGAAAAAGGAAATGAAAAAAACTGAAAAAACAAATGAGAAAGCTCGGAGAACAAAAAAACAAAAAGAAAGCAAAAAAATTTTAAAAAGAGAAAACCCAACTCTATTTCTCTACAAGTATGGTTCGCCCTACTACTATCATGAACAGAAAGCTAGTCTAGTGGCTTGACGCAGTCGCTCGAAACCAGGAGACCACGTCTGGAATCCCCACCGCGCTCCATGTTCTCGAAGGGCGTTCTTCGTCGTGAATGGGTCGGCCCGATTAGCGTATTCCCCTTAAGCGAGCGATCTTTCCCACCTCGCTTAAAGCGAGAAACAGTTGCCACCCTAATTAAGGGGAGCTCCTATTAGACATGTTCCGCGTCAAATTGGGGTCACGATGCATACAGGAATCCCGAATGGGCCTGCCCATTAGCGTGGGTGCGCGTTCGTAACGCTCATACTGTAGCACAACGGAAAAAATAAATCAAAATAACAAGCGCTGTCAACAGCCCGCGTTCATCACGCTTGTACTTTAGCACACGGAAAAAAAATTACAATAGCATGTGCTGTCAAGTGGAATCGAATCCCAGAACAGTCAATTACAGAACACCATCGCTAACTACCGCACTTAACAATTGCATGTTACTATAGGCCAGCGCTAAAAGGAAAGAACTAATCACAGAGCGCTAGATATGAACACCTTTTAAAAAAATTCGAACATTTTCATGCAAATTGTAAAAGAACAGAAGACAAGTAATTTTGGAAAATCTTAAAAATTTATGAAAGATGGGAATTTTTAAAAATCTTCTAGAATTTCAAACATTTTTTCAAATTTTGATCATTTTTCTAACAACGTGAATACAATTCAAATTTTTGATTTTTTTGGACATGTGCGAACAATATTTTAAGAAAGTGAACATTTTTGACACTACGAAATATTTAAAAATCTGTTTTTTTATTATAAAGAATTCTAAAATTCGGAACAAATTTGGAAATATCTGCACAATTTTTTGAAACACCGAACATTGTTAGAAAATCTCGAACATTTTTTGAGTTTGACAACAAAATTTGAAAAACAGGAACCTTGTTTCAAATTCCTAAAAATGAAACCAGAACATTTTTTCAATTTCTGAACAAATATGGAAAAAATGATTTTTTTTAAATTCTGCACAATTTTTGAAAACATGATTTTTTTTAAGTCCCGGACACTTTTTCAATTTATGAACAAATTTATAAAACAGAACCATTATGAAAACTTCTGAAATAAAATTAAAAAAAACAAAGATATTTTGAAAAAATGATCATTTTTAAACACAAAACATTTTCTCGATTCATGAACAAAATTTGGAAAAGGAAAAAAAATAAAATTTTAAACTTTTTCTTAAAAGAAAGATGAATTTGAAAAAGCAAACAAGAAAAGGAAAGGAAAAGAAACAAAAGCAGAAGCAGGAAAAGGAAAAGGAAAATAAACTTGAAAAAGAAAAAAGAAACAGAGACAGAAAAAAAGATAACAAAAGAAGCGGAAATCCGAGAAAACCCGGTTCTAGACAGTTCCCAAAACCGGTTTTGGGATCCTGTAGCGCACTCTTCCTGTAGCGCACGTTAACACTGCTGAAAATATGTCGTTCGCTATTACTCTTCCCTAAAGAAGCGCTCCCTTGTCTAAAAAAAACTAAATAAGCACTCCCGAATTCCCTATTTGAAGGTTATTGTTCAGAAAAAATTTCTTTGCAATCAATTTTTTCCCATAGCTTTCATAGCGGTTTGTCTGGTTCGTGTTTTTATTTCTGTTTGTGTTCACAGTTTTTTTTCCAGTTTTTTCTTTTTATTTCTTTTCCCTTTTCCCTTTTTTATTTTCATTCCTTTTCCTTTTTATTTATTTTTGGTGTTTCAACTCTTTTAAAAATATTCATGTTTTTAAAATTCGAATTTTACAAAATTATTCATAGAAGTTATACTCGCTTTGATCCATATTTCTTGTAGTTGCTTTAGTACAAGTAATATGGAGAGGAGGGAGTATTTTTTTCATATTTTATAAAAAAGATTGCATAATTTTCAAAATTGTACGCACGTCTTTTAATAATATTTAGGAATTATGTATAAAAAATTTCACACTTTTTCTAGATACTTTTCTCTTTATTGTTTTTTTCTTGATTGATCAGATTACACGGGGTACAAGTATATAGTAGGGAAATGGGGATCTATGTGAGGTACAATTATCCATCATCATAAAGTACCTAAAGTTTGTGAAGGGAACTAGTTAATTTATGGCCTGGTACGCTGGTTGTATTTTGATGAGGACATTTTTCCGGCATTAGAGGGAGATAAGAACCACATTGATTGTCTGGAATAGATATCTAGTCCTTAGATTCATGTTCGAATGAATCTTAACCGGAGGTTCAGAAGATTATCAATTTGCAAAGTATCGCAAATAAACTACCAGTTGCATGTGCCAGAGAAAGTAAAATGTTCCCGTAGTGAATGTGCCAGAGAAAGTGAATATAACCCATAGGTCCACTTGACCACTCAAGAGGGGGAGGGGTCTGAACACAAG